TCTTCTATCTTATTATAATGATACTAGTTGAAGAGTGATCAAATAACACAGAAAAATAGACCATTGTTTTCTCTATCACTAGATAAAAAAAAGAAAATTTCTTCAAGTTTACCATACAGTATTAAAGTGTCATTGTCACTACTTTTGGAATACCCTAAGTAGATGTATCGAAGAAAATTGAAATTATCTTATTTTATTTCATGTCAGTCTATACCGAATTCAAATTTTATTGTTTTTACCATTAAATATGGTATTTCTTCCGGAATAATACCAAAGTATATTAATGAATTCTATTTTTTAGTTTAGCAGTTGATGTTGATGTTAAAAGTAATATGAAATTTCTTGTGCAAGGAAGAATTATGTAATTGAAATAATATATAAATTAATAAAAAAAATTCACTGCACTTTTGCATTACATCTACATATTTAATTCAAATTTAATAATTATCGAAAATTTTTCAATTGTTCATCTGTATTTTCATTTATTTGTCTTACAAATTTAATTATTATTTACAGTATACTTTTAATAACTCGAATATAAAATGAAAATATACCACAAAAAAAAGAGAACTTTCTTTTTCTCATTTTTTTCATAATTACATCAATTTTTCTGTTGTCTTCATATTATTCTTATTACATAAACTAAAAATTAAAAAAAAATTGTATAAACAAAATAATACTCTATATACTGATTCGATTTTATATAAAATAAAGCATGAGTACTATCTTTTCTCTAAATCTGCTATTGAAAGATTTAAGATGTTTACTTGCTTGCTCATAAAATTGTTTTCGAGATTCAACTTCTGATGTTGAATGAGAAGTCATCACTGTACTTATGATACGATTACATATGTGAAAATGAATGTTCCGCTTTTTTATTTACAGTTTATGTAAACGAATAATTATTTTTTTCTATTGATAGTCAGATCAACAATCAATAAAAAAAAATATCGCTGTTTCGCGCCTACTAAAACTAATTTTGCCTAAGTTTAATTTTGCCTAAAGTTTAATTTTGCCTGGGACATATATCTAATATAAGAGACATAAACTAAAATGATAACTTAGAATTTTCAACCAACACAGAATTAAGGGTTCATTCACAATTTAGAACCCCAAGCATCTGATTGGTCAGAGAACCAGCATGAAAATGAAGGTGAAGGCGAGAAAGTTAATGTAAAAGAGATATATTGGGGTCCTAAGATGTAAAAGTATCGAATTAAGGAAAATATAAATGAAATGTTATCGATATTTACAATAGTTGCCGGCGGCGGCGGCTCGATAATTTTCAAATTTCGAATACTATCGGCGGCGCGGCGGCTGTAATTAAAGTGCCTCAGCGGCGACGGCTTAAAAATTTCTAAAATTTCTACTGTCATGGCGGCGACGGCTTAAAATTTTTCGAGTTTATCGGCGGCGACGGCTGCTCAGCTGCACGGCTTACACCTCTACCTGCGACATACTATTTTAGAAAAAATAGTCTTGTCTTTGCATATTAACAATATTTTCTCCAACTCAATTTTCGATGTTGATTTCGAGTATCGTATTCAATTTGGTTGTAAATCTAAATATATTATGTTCAGTGTCTGTCTGTACTGGGCCAAAGGTCAAATAAGGCTATAAGCGGAAGACCCGTGGGCTACTATATTAGAGTACCCATAGGTCCTTAAAGGCTATCCTAAGGGAATATCTATAGATCCTTAAAGGCTATTATATGGGGGTATCCATAGGTCCTTAAGGGCTATCCTATGGGGGTACCCATAGGTCCTTAAGGACTATTATATGGGATACCCATAGGACCTCAAGGAAGTAAGGCAGGAAGGAGATAGGTAATAAGGGATAAAGCAATAAGGAGATAAGGATACAAGAACTACAATGGATATAAGACTATAAGGGCGAAGGCTACCTGAACTATAAAAATATGTGCAAAATAAGAGTATCAAGCCTTAGGGTTATCTATATACATAATATCGGGTGTCTGTATGTCTATTACCGGTTGAAAAGTTAAACGTTTAAGGTCATACGTTAAAGGAGGAAACAGGCGTGCAGTATGCATGGGTTCTCGCTAGTAGAGATATAATGGTTAAAATCACCAAATACGCGTCCATTGTCTAGTATATTATTCATGATATTGATTTTTTTTTCAAAAGCATAACTTTTCAAAAGAGATGAGTTGGCTAATCGATAGTTTCTTAAATTTTATTGGATGATCAATAATACTAATATTTTCGATTTATATCTTACATTAGAAAAATTTGCTTTTTACATTAGAGTAACACTAATTCGTGTTAATTCTGGTTAACAAGTAATTAAACATAAATGACACAAAAGAAAATCATCTTTAATAAATTTTTCGATGATATTATATCTATAAATAGTTCATTACAAAACTATAATAGAACGAACAATATCTCATATGCATATTAAACTCTACAAAGATTTAAAAAAAAATACTCACTTAATATGGAACTTAAGGATTTAATCAGTTAGTCAATAATGAACCAGTTTGCTTTCTATTGCATGCATAAAATAGTGAAGATGTTCTTTATCACTTGACAAATTTTTCTGGGAAAAGTTAGGATAATAATGCTCTCCTTCATAAACAAGCCGCTATATTGTTTCAGTTTAAATCAAGAAAATATTTGAAACTTTCTCAACAACAATGAGAAGCAACTGAATAAAACGAATTGTGGGAAAAGTAGTTTTCCATTGCTCTATACTATTTCGATACTCCATACATTGTGAACAGCAAATGACAAAGACCTGCTATATTTAAATGCTCTTTGATAAGAATGCCCAAAATTAAAAAAAAATAGTATTCTCCAAAACTATAATGATTCGGAGTTATTGCTAAAATCAGGACCTGTTACAATGCACGATACATATATATATATATATATGGACCCTTTTGTCTATTACTAGAGACTATTATCCACTTGTATCATGTAATGTTTATGTCACCATTAGCAATAAATCTTTCCTAGACTTTTCACAAAGTAGTACATGCAAACTGTGTTGAATGTGATGTATCTTTCTTTTTCTACATTCAAACACTCATGCCCATCCTTCCTAGTTGTGGCGTTTTTATTGCGATATTTTTCTATACTCGTTGATACCGTTTGTGAACGAGTGCTAGAAAATCTGATTGATAAATAGAAAATTATTTTTCGAATTTAATAGCTATTTAGTAGCGATTGACTATGTAATAATATAAGAAAATAAATGAGGTTCAGTATGATATAATTTATCAGTAATTGATTAATATCAAATTTACATAATTAAAATGTATTCTAAAAATAATGTTTATTATTTCAAGAATTATAAATCGGTTAACCGAATATTTACTACTATACTATACAGAGATGAACTGATACTACTCGACTATTCAGAACAAGGTTTCATCCATGATTTTTTGTTTCAAATACGAACGATTATATAAGGGTATTTGTAAAACATGCGAACATCCACGAACACCTATATCTTTTGATAGTGTGTAGCCCTACTTGAATTAGATACATGCTCAAAGTTTTAGATTGTTATATGCTCGCGTAAGGAAAATAGAATCGACCTACTCTTTTAATTATAAGACTTAAAATTGAAAAGGTAGGTCCATGTTATTTTTCTTATACGAGTATATAAAAGGCTGAAATTTAGAGGATGTATCTAACTCGAGTAGGGCTACACACTATCAAAAGATATGGTTGTTCGTGGAATCCATTCAGTGAGATCTATCTACCGATAATATCAGCTGTCGATTTGGGAATGTTCGTGTATTTTAGAAATACCAATTATATAATATTTTCTTTCGAAATAGGGTCAAAAGTAATGATTTTTGTTGGTCAATATAACAAATGTTCAAGATCTAGTTGAGTCATTTCATATCGGAATACTATTGACAATCAAAAAGTAGCCAAACGAAGAAAACAAAAAGGAGTAGAATGTTATAACAACTAGTTTACTTTTTGGATATCACTGCAACTTATGCAAATATTAATTTTAAAAATGTAATCGTTTTAAAAAGAAATATCTGACTAAGCGCTTGAAAAAAAAAATGTTTATTTAAGTATTTCTCTTCTAACTAAGTTATATGTAAAGGATTTTTTTAAAGAATTTTTTTACCTTTAAAACGACCAGCTTCAAGAGTGTTCTTTGATTCTATTTCATCATTGATTAATTCATAATAAATATTCGTAACAAATTCAGTATGTAAAATAGTACGAAATAATTTAATAAAATCATTTAATACTGACCAATTTGAAATATTTTTAATAATAATATCATCTTGTAATATTGTTGAGAATAAACATAAATCTTCTGTTGTTATTCTTCTATGTGATATTATTATAACTAAAAATGTACCTATAAGTGAAAAATATGATGATAAATGTAAATGATCATTATTGATTAATTCGAATTTGTCAAGAATATTGTCTTCATCAATTAAACGTAATTATGTACATAAATTAATATTATGTAATTTAGTATTTTCTTTAATACAATGATAATGGTCACTAGACGTGCACCAGTTCCAGTAACTGGGTCCCCAGTCGGACTGGGATCCAGTCCGATTGGTACCCAGTCCTTACTGAGTACCCAGTCACGACTGGGTACTTAGGCATTTTATCTTGACTTCGCTAATCGAACAATATTTTCCTATTTTCTAATATATTGGGGTGAATTTATTCTAGGAATGCCCCAAATCCAGATCCTATCAAATCCAAACGCTGGATTTAACAGGATTCGCCTAGATTTGGGTTGGAGTTTGACATGATTTGACTAGATTTAAGTTTGATTTTGGCATGGCTGGACTCCATTTCGTACATCCTTACTAGAATAGAAGAAAATAATACTCGATTAATGGGATCAAGGTCAGATGACTAGGTACCCAGTCGTGACTGGGTCTCCAGTCAGGACTGGGGACCAGTCGGACTGGGTATCCAATCCGACTGGATGCCCAGTCCGACTGGTACCAGTTCAACCAGTCACGACTGGGACTGGTGCATGCCTAATAATGGTTATGAATGAAAATTGATAACAAACTAAAAAAGTATTTTTTTAACAGATTATTATCATTACTAGAATACTGCTCAAAATTATAAAAACAGACAGCTTTTTAGTATTTTTATTTTCATATATTTTTTTTTCTACTTTCAACAATTTTTGTGTCTAAACATATGCATTGCAATGTAGTCTTTTCGATGGCGCAGTCAGATTTGATCGTTTTGAATTTCAAGTTTGCGTAAATCTAAATTTATTGAAAATCGTGCCTTTGAAAAAACATCAGTAAAAAACGCTGATCAAGCTCAGTTTTTTGGCTACTAAAATAAAAATATCGTTGAGCACACTTTTTTCAGACTTGCATCTGATAGAAGAAACTTTTTGCTAAAAAATAAAACATTTTCGAGTTGCGATGAACATTTTCTTAGAAAGATAACAACATTTTAAAAACAAAAAACGCTTTTCGTGTAAAATTTGCCTTAGAAATGTCGACTTTCATGTGTTTTAAACGTAAAAATGTTGTTATCTTTTTAAGAAAATGTTCATCATAACTCAGAAATGTTTTATTTTGTAGCAAAAAGTCTCTTCTATCTGATTCAAGTCTGGAAAAAGTATGCTCATCTATATTTTTATTTTAGTAGCCAAAAAACTGAGCTTGACCATTGTTTTTTATTGATGTTTTTCAGAGACATAATTTTCAATAAACTTCCATTTACGCAAACTTGAAATTTGAAATGACCACATCTGACTGCACCATCGGAGAGACTACATTAAAATGCATATGTTTAGATACAGAAATTGTTGCAAATGGAAAAAAGTTCTACGTCTGTTCTTATAATTTTGGACAGTAGTGTATTTATTAAAGCTAGGTGTCGCAAATAAACAAGATTAAAATAGATTTTTTCTTACTTAAAATGTTTTATTTATTACTTAGTATAAAAATCTTTAACTTTTTTTAAAAATAGAAAAAAATAATACGTATTCTCAATGTAACGATAGGATTGGTTTAATATTTATTCAATTGTCATTTTACTAATGTTCTCTGTTCATATAAATTGCACCATCAGATGTAATTCTTCATTTATTTCTAACACTCAAATTTTGTGAAAAAACGAAAAGAAAAAACAATGGATGAATCTGGATTTCGAGCTGAATATGCTAAATCAGATCGATCAACATGCAAAGGATGTCATTCAACTATAGACAAAGATGCACTTCGACTTGCTATTATGATTCAATCACCAAGTTTTGATGGAAAAGTCTCACATTTGAATATTATTTTAATAAAAAAATAACAACAATTATTGATTTATTATTTAGATTCCAACATGGTATCATATGGGATGTTTTTTTAGAAAAGTGAAACCATCTGATGCACAAATAATAAAAGGTTTCGATAATCTTCGTTGGGACGATCAAGAAAAAATTCGTAAAAAAATTGACGGAACATCAAAAGATGAGTCAAGTAAATAAAATTCAGAAAAAAAGAATAAAATAAAAAAGAAAATTCTTTCTTCTAGAAGATAAATCAGATGAAGCAGAAGGCGATTCGAAAAATTTTAGTGCTGAATATGCTCGATCAAATCGAAGTACATGTCATGGTTGTAATAGTAAAATTGAAAAAGATCTTGTTCGTTTATCAAGAAAAGTTTCATCAAGTTCTAATCATTCAGCAACTGATCAATGGTATCATATTGATTGTTTTAAAGAACATAAAGATGAACTTCAATTTAATGGAACTGCTGAAACGTTTGTTATTTATTTTAGAATATTTTCTTTCTTTATTTTTCATTTTATTTTTCATTTTATTTATTTTAGATTTTCAGGTTTTAATGATCTTAATAAAGAAGATCAAACTGAATTAAAAAAAAAATTTGGTTCATCAACGATTAATCGAAAACGTAAAGGTGATAAAACATTAAGTTCAACAACAAGTGAAAATAATGATGCACCGAAAGCTAAACAAGCAAAAACAGAAGATAATAATGGTTTAACACCAGCAGAAGAAGAAAGACATCAAAAAAAAGTATTTTTACTTTTATTTTTTTTCATATTGAGATTTTATTTTTGTTAAAGGAACAAAGTGAATTACTTTGGAAATATAAAGATGCTTTAAGAAAAGAAGTACCCAATGATGTTTTAAAAGAATTACTTGAACATAATCAACAAAAAATTCTTACTGGAGAATCAAATGTAATATTAATTATTTTTATTTTTAATATTTTATTTATTTTACAAAATTTAGTTAATTGAAACAGTTGCAGATTGTATGGCATTTGGTACATTAGAACATTGTCCTGAATGTGGTGGATTTCTTATTTTTAGGTTTAAAATTTTTCATTTACAAATTTCTTTTTTTCATATTTGTTTCATTTTCGATGTTTTAGTCATTCATGTTATCATTGTACGGGTGATGTTACAGAATGGACCAAATGTACTTATTCAACAAGAACACCAACAAGAAAACCATTTGATATACCTGATGATATTAAAACAGAATATGATGCTTTGTAACCATTTTTTATTATTATTCAAATTTTAATTCTTTTTCTTTTTTTTGTTTTGTTTAGTAAATCATATAAATATAAAAAACGTGATCGAATTTTAGCACAAGTTATTGAGAAACAAGTTACAATTACTAAAACACCTGATGTTTCACGAGTTATTCAAGAGTAAGTTTCGCTTTTCTCTTTATTTATTTATATTGAATTAGAATAGAATTTCAATTTCAGAAAAAAAGAATTTCTATTTTATGTTTTTAAAGTTTATATTAAGAAAACTTTCTACTTAAGTTTGTCTATCAAAAAAATTCAATTCTAATCATTGAACGTTATTTGGGTTTTTGATCGAAATAAATATAAGATAATTATCTCAAAAACTTTTATTAATGAACGATTGATTATGGATTTTTCATATTCCATTGAATTTTTATTTCAATAGTTTAACATCTCTGAAAACTAACAATATGCATATGTTCTACTCATTGTTTTATTGAACATTTTTCCCATAAAAATCATTTTGAAACTGCAAAGAAGCAAACTTATAGTTTTCTCAAGACAATGACTATAAGCTAGAAGAAACATAGATCTTCGGAAAGATACAAATATCTTCACTTCTTCACTCAACGAATATTGATTCGACCATTAAAGCAAGAAAATTCGAAGTATATTCATCTATATTAAATCTATGAGACAAACAATATACATGACTAGTGTGAGCCAGCGCATACTGTACGGCTGTTTTCTCCTTTAACGTATGAACTCAGATGTTTAACTTTTCATCCGATAACAGACATGCAGACACTCAATATTATCTATATAGAAAGATGACCCTACGGTCTCATACTGTTATATCGTACATATTTTTATAGTACATGTAGCCTTCGCCCTTATAGCCTTATATCCCTCGTAGCTCTTGTAGTTTTATCCTCTTATTATTTTACCCCTTTCAAGGTCTATGGATGGATATCTCATAGAACAGTCCTTGAGGACATATGAGTTCCTCCATAGGATAGCCATTGAGGATCTATGGGCATCCACATAGAGCGACTCTGGAGGAGCTATGAGTACTTCCATAGGATAGCCCTTGAGAGCCTATGAGTCTCTATACAGTAGCTCCTGGTGCCTTTCCCTTATAGACTTATTTGGCCTTTAACCTTCGATCAGGTACAGAGAAACAGATACACACTGAAGATTATATATATATATAGATAATTACATGATAGTAAACCTTACAGAATCCATTCAGAAATATTAGAACTTCAAAATAGTTATGAAGATAGATTTACCTAATGAAGACGATTGTTGTTGAGGAATAGAAAATTAAAATAAGAAATTTTTATTGATATGTTTAAGGCGAATACGAATAACTGTTTTTATAAATTGATCTATTATTGTTTTTGCATAATTTAATAGTCGTTTAATTTTTTTATGATTATTTAATCTTGATGAAAAGAAGAAATAATCTATTTAGACCAACATATGATTCAAGTTTACCACTTTCTGGTTATGTTGTATCATCAGCTGGTCGTTTATCAAGTTCTGTTGCAACTATCCAAAAAGAAGTTGAACGATTAGGTGGTACATATTCATCAAAAATTGATGAAAATGTTGGAATTGTTATTAGTTCAAAAGGTAATTTTCATATTGATTTATTTTTATTTGATATTTGTTTTTTTTTGTTTTTTAATAAAAAAGATGAAATTGAAAAAAAGAGTAAAAAACTTCAAGATGCTCAAAAATTAAATATTCACATTGTCTCAGAAGAATTTTTAAATGAAATAAAAACTGATCGTCCATCAATAATAATGGAAAAATGTAAAATTTCAACATGGGGAATTTTACCACATATTCGAAAACAAACTAAAGCAAATGAAGAAGAAAAACTAAAATCTGGCCAAAAATCATTTACAACAGCATCAAACAAATCTGATTGTAAATTTTTAATAAAACAAATCAAATAGAAAAAATTCAATTTTATTTTTTTAAGCTCGTGTAAAAAAATCTGTACCAGATAAAGTTCAATTAAAATTAAAAGATGGAATTGCTGTTGATCCTGATTCAGGTTTTTATATATTTAAAAATATAAGAATCGAAATAAAATTTATTTTATTTTATTTGAATAGGACTTGAAGATACTTGTCATGTTTATAAAGAAACAGAAACCGGTGATATATATACTGCTGTTCTTGGTCTTGTTGATATAACACGTGGAACTAATTCTTTTTATAAAATGCAATTACTCGAATCTGATAATGGTCAAAAATGGTTTGTCTTCAGAGCTTGATAAGTTTTTTTATTTTTCTTATAATAGTATATATATAAATATGTTTTATGTTTTTTTTTTACGGGTCGAACAGGTACAGAATTTCGTGGAGATAAAGTTGATGAATATAGTCGACGAAATGATGCAATAAATGCATATCATGCATTATTTCTTGATAAAACAGGTAATAATTGGTTAGATAGAAAAAATTTTCAAAAATTACCAAATAAACATTATCCACTTGAAATTGATTATGGACAACATGCTGATAATGATAAAATGAAAAAATTACTTGAAACAGCTAATTTAAATATTCATTCAAAATTATCTTATTCAGTTCAAGAACTTATTAAAATGATTTTTAATGTTGAAAATATGAAACAAGCTTTATTATCATTTGATATTGATTTAAATAAAATGCCATTAGGAAAATTATCAAAAAATCAATTAGATAAAGGTTATCAAATTTTAACAGAATTACAAACTTTAATTACTAGTGGAATTACAACATCAAAAACAGCTATTATTGATGCAAGTAATCGATTTTATACTTGTGAGTATTCATACATAATATTAATCAATTTTTCTGTTTTATTCCAATTCATTCATTTGTCAAGATTTTTTTTTCTAACAAATAATTATTTTTATGTTTTTTCACATATAATAAGAAAGCTTTTACACAACCATGACAAATTTTATCATTAATGAGTTAATCAAATCTAAGACAAATATCATCTCAAGATATTAGTTTTGAAAAAATCGTTAGAAACAATTTATCAATCTATACCATTGTATATTGATGTTTGTCAAAAGAAAAATTTCTCCTATACCGATATCAATCTATAGTAGAAGTGATGATCGCGAAGAGGGAAATAAACGAAACCCATTATGACTCTACTCCCTTTCACAACAGACGACCTTCTAGTGGACCATCTCTTCCCAATTCTACTCAACTCGCAATCGCATTGTCTGCTTATTTT